CATGTTCCCAACACACCCAGTGTCCCCCACAGCCCCATACCCTACACCCCGTGTCCCATGCACCATGGCCCCATCTCCCACTGTCCCCACGCCCCCATGCCCCCACGTCCCCATTCTCCCACGTCTCCGTGTCCCCCATGTTGACATGCCCCCATTCTCCCATGTCCCTGTGTCCCCATGCCTCCATAACCCCATGTCCCCCTGTCCCCATCTCCCGTTATCCCCATGTCCCCCATGTTGCCATGCCCCCATGTCCCCATGTCCCGGTCTCCTAATGTCCCCATGTCCCCATTCCCCCATGGCCTCATCTGTATGTCCCAATGTCCCCACATAACCATGCCCTGTGTCCCCACGTCCCCATGCCGTATGTCCCCATGCCATATCTCCCCATGCCCCCCAAGTTCATTTCCCCTACGCCCCGCGCCGTGTGTCCCCACGTCACACGTCCCTGTGTCCCCATCTCCCATGTCCCCCTGCCCGGTGCCACCTCTCGCAGGACATGTGCGCCGACTGCCAGCAGATCGTCACCCTCCTCACCCGCATGGCCAACGAGTCGGCCACCAAGGTGCCCATGGGGATGGGGGGCCATGGGGTGGCCACCGTGGGTGCCAGCATGGGTGCCACGGTGGCTGTGGCACAGGGTTGGCCACCATGGGTGCCACCGTGGGTGCCAGCGCGGGTGCCATGGCGGCTGTGGGCACAGGTGGCCGTGGAGGGCTTCCTGCGGCGGGAGTGCGCGGCGCTGCCGGTGCCCACCATGGTGACACCCTGCCAGAACCTGGTGCACGAGTACTTCAGCCTCCTCCTCACCGACCTGGAGGAGCACCTCGTGAGTCGGCACCCATGGGTGCTGCGGTGGATGGACGGGGGCGGCGCTGGGGGATTGGGGACATCGTGGCAGCTGGGGACGCCTCAGGGGTGCTGGGGGACACCATGCCATCTGGGGACACCGTAGGGTGCTGGGGGGATTGGGGACACCATGCCATCTGGGGACACCATGCCAGATGGGGACATCTCGGGGTGCTGGGGAGATCAGGGACACTTGGGGGGGGGCTTGGGGACACCGTGCCAGCCTGGGACACCTTGGGGTGCTGGGGGGATTGGGGACACTGTACTGGCCAGGGACACCTTGGCGTGCTGGGGGACACTGTGCCAGCTGGGGACAGCTCGGGGGACTGGAGGGACTGGGGACACTGTCCACGCGGGGGAGCTTGGCGACACCGGGGGTGTCACCTCGGGGTGCCCCCACCCTGTCCCCCAGAAGCCCTCCGCCATCTGTGCCCGCCTGGAGCTGTGCCCGGAGCAGCCCGGGGGGGCCCCGGCCGCGCCCCCCCTCAGGGCGCTCAGCGCCCGCCTGCAGGTACGGGACCTCGGGGCCGGGGCCGGTGGGTGCCCGGGGGCGTCGACACGGGGGCTGCGGGGCATCGGCACGGGCACGGGCGCCTCCGTGGGCATGGACGTGGGTGTCTGTGGGCACCGCCGTGGGCACGGCCGTCTCCGTGGGCGTGGCGGGGCTGCCTGCGTGGGCATAAGTACGGGAATCTCCGCGGGCATCCGCGCGGGCTTCCATAGGGGCACCTCTGCGGGCATTCACACGGGCATCTTCAAGGGCCCCTACGCGGCCACGAGCACGGGCACCCTTGGGGGCACCCCTGCGGGCAGCACCATGGGGCTGGGCGCCCACAGGCCCCTCTGCGGGCACAAGCACGGCCGCAGCCCCACCATTAGCCTCCAGAGTGAACGCCCGTCCCCAGGTCGCCGCCGGTGACGCCCTGCCCGTGCCGCTGCCGCTGTGCTGGCTGTGCCGCACCTTCCTGGCCCGCGCCCAGGCCGCTGTCCCCAAGGAGGCGGTGGCGACGGCGGCAGCGGGGCTGTGCCGGGTGCTGCCGGTGGTGGCGGTGGGTGCGTGCCAGTGCCTGGCGCAGCGGTACGCGGTGCTGGCGGTGGAGGAGGGGCTGGGCCGCCTGGCCCTGTCCCCACAACACCCCATGGCCGGGCCCTGGGATCCCCCGGGGGGCCCCCGGGCCCCCACCGCC